TCGATGGAGATTGAAATTCTTTAAGTAGAGGATCACTATTCGACGAGCCCTAGTTAAGGGAAGCTTTTCACCGAGCTACCTGTTCTGTTTTATGTGTTATTGAAGGCGGTAGTTCGTTTGTCTGAACTTTATTAGTCCCCCAACTGGACCAACCACTTGGCTTTGAGCTTGTTTGTCCAGCCCCCGAAGTTTAGTTTTCTGTCAACCCCCTATTCCTTACCACAGTCATCATTTTTACTAGACTTCCAAGAATTGGAATGCGACTCTTTTTTCTTTCCTGATGGAGATTGACATTCTTTACTTTACAGTTTACATCAAGTCTCTAAAATGAACAAAAGTGAGGCTAAATCAGCATGCAAGAAAAAGGCCTAAAAGAGGGATAAAGAGGCAAATGGTAGCAGCTGACCTCAAACAGAGGAGAGCCCTTCAACAAAGTTGAATAGGGGCTCAAAAAAATACATTTCACAGTTTATGACTAAGTCCAAAACAGCTCACAAATAAGCCTAAAATATCATGCAAAAATAGGCCTAAAAAAGAGTTTAAACACAAAGGGGGAGGAGAAGACCTCAAACAGCAAAAAGTCCTTGATCAAACATGAAGAGGAGCTCAAAATATGACTCTTTACAGTTTAGGTCGGGGCCCAAAAATGTAAGCAACAAAAGCTAAGATAGCATGCAAAATAGGGCAAGAAAAGAGGAAATAGGGACTCACCCTTGTAGCACAGGTTTCCAGCAGCTTTTGGTCCAAGAAAAGGAGCTCCTATCCTCTGAAAAATAGCCTCAAGTTGCTGGAATAGAGTGTGGAGGTTGTAGGCTTGGAGGTGGTGTGTAAAGGTCAAGAACAATGGGTGTTTGGGAGCTTGAAAAATGGAGAGCAATGGAGGAGGGAAGGGTGTATGCTCTAGCTGGTTTTCTAACCCTTAGAAATGAAGCTCTAGTGTTGGTTTTATAGAGGGAGAGAGGCCAAGGGAAAAGGGAAAAAAAAAACAATTCAAATTTCCCCCCAAAAGACAGACCCTCGAATACAAAATCTGGGGGAAAATAGAGGGCACAGCTGGAAGGCACTTGGAGAGAGGATTCTGGCCGGCCAGGTTCAAAAGGTTCAGGTGGTCGGCCGGCCACCCCCCTGGCAGGCCGGCCAGGGGTCAAAAGGGTCAATTAGAATTGCTGGCCGGCCACCCAAAGAAGGTGGCCTCCCATGTGTGCACAACACAAATATGTGGTCAAAACCCAGAAAATGTGAACTATGAGAGAGAAAAACCCACTTTTTAGAGTGGTTCAAAAGGGTCAGAGACAATTATTGGCCGGCCTATTCATATTGGTGGCCTCCCAGGTGTGTACAACACAAATATGGGGTTTAGGGCTAAAGAAAGTGGCCCGGGAGTGGTCAACATTAGCTTTTTAGTGAGGAAAACAGGCGACGGAGAGCGATAAAGAAATAAAGCTGGCTTTTCAAAACAATTGCTGGCCTCCCACCCTCCTACAAGCTTCCTAACAATGAAAATAAGGTCTCCACCAAAAATGAACCAAGACAGATGCAAAGCGAAGGTTCGGGGACCGAAACACGCGGCCCGGGGGCCCGAAAACAGGCTGTTAAGCACCGGAGGTGGCGTTCGACCACGAAGTTGGTCTCTCGAGCCATAGTGTCCCCCAAAAGGGAGTAAATAAGATGTGTGCCGAAAACCGGAGCAAACGGAGGTGGTTAGGCGGTCCCGAACCGAGGCACACGGCCGTCGGCTCTGAAAAATCGAAAATCGGGCTCCAAACAGGAAAAATGGCCTACGACCACGAAACGTAGCCTACGGCGATTGAGAGATGATCTACGAGACCTCTCCCTCCCTTCGGGAAGAGAAAACAAAGAAAACAAAGCCTGGTTCGCAAACCGAGGCAAGGCGCGAAAGAGTCCGAAAGTTCGGAGGCAAGGCTTGCAGCCGAGACTCTGAAACTTCTGAACAAGCACAATATGCAATATCACCAAGCGCTCAATCGGTGACGTCTGAGTCTTAAGGTCAGTCAAAAATGGGGTGTCTACAAACATACCCTACAATTTAATGAAATTTGTCAAAAACTCGTTCACTAATATGAACTCATTGACAAAAGGTCAAAAAAAGAGATAGAACGGTGCTATGAGCTCATTCACAGGCTGGGAATGGGAGTCGTGTATTTAATTGGGGAAAGAGGCAAGTCACTCCATATTTAACCTTCCATGTATATACTTATTTATGTAGATGTATATGGAGTGTGGAACTGCAAGTGAACAACACAAGATACATCGTAGGGAAATTTTATGGTTGCTAAAAACAGGTTCATTACTGAAAGTTTACATTTTGGTATGGCATTTAAAGCTTACAAGTGGAATGTCACTAGTTTGGGAGAAAACTTGTGTGACTGAGCTTGTCTATTTGTGTGAATAAGTTTAGTTTTCAGTACATGTTTTTGCAGACATAGCACAATAGGGTATATTATATTCATATATTCTGGTACAATTGAAACTTAGGTACTCTGCTCTTGTAAAATTTAGTTCTGAAATTTTTTTCTATTTGTACCATTTAGGAATTTTTTATTTTTTATTTTTTATTTGAGCTAGAGAATTAGCAATTCAAATTATTGTCATCAAAAGAAGCATTTTTAGGGAAGCAAGGAAAACATTGTGGATCAAAGGCCTGCTAAGGTTTTTTGACCTTACAACTGATTGGTCCAACCTAAGAACATGAACATGATCCAACGAAGAAGTTAATGGATAGTAGATTTCATCTAGTACATATATGATTCATTCAAATTATATTAATTGAGTTTTTAAATTGGGTAAATATTAGTCATTGTCTTATGATTTGGCTTTCATTCACTTCTTCATATTTGTATGCATCTAGGAGTTGGTCCTACCATTATGAAAACCTATGTCCTGGTTTGTGCCTTTTGTTCATTAATTCATCATCTAAGAACGGTGGGTTACGATATTTTGTGATTTTCATCTATTACTGTCAATAAGTTTATCATATTGGTGATTTGAGTGTTTTCCTTTCATATTGTTTTTCTTTTTTCAATGCTTTTTGGGTTAAATTGAATTTCTTTTACCTCAGGCACCATGGTTGCAACGGTTGGACTCTTCGTTCTTTTCATTTTGGGCACTAGCTGGGCATGTGATGCCAGAGAATTAACGACAACCGAACTCTCTAGTAGAGAAACGGTGATATCTGATGTTTCAGGTAGTTCTCTTTTTTCTTTTTTCCTCTTCCAAATTTATATAATTTTAAGATTTTAATGTTCGCAGCACATGATACTTAAGTATATATCCAAATAAATCAATGTTTTCTGGCTACAGTGTTGCAGATAAATCACCAGGAATCAGAAGGCATAATTAAAGCTTCAGAAGAAGTTGGAAGGAATGAAAATGTGTGCACGCTGTGTGAAGAGTTTGCTACCAAGGCAATTGAGTACCTCGAGGACAACAAGACTCAGACGGAGATCATTGATATCTTTCACAACACCTGTGCTCGGCTGATCCCTTTTGAGAAAAAGGTAGTAACTGACATAAATGCCATTGGATTTTAATAAACTTGTTTGTTCACCATAATCCCGAGCTTTAGGCACTGTCAAGTTTCTCATGCCTAATTTGTAAACACTAATAGGATTAATGAATTCCAATCATCAGCTGATCTCCAAGAAATACAATTATAAATTGTATCTTTCAATTTACAACTGCAAATTACCTTTGTGACTTTATTTTGTTCTTCAATGTGGATTTCATGTCTAAAACTCATTTCTATCTCTAGAACATTTTCTTTCTAGTTGAGGACGGTAAATGATATTGAGTGATAGTTCAAACTCGTAAATTTATCTTATATGTGTCTTGAAGCATTAATATTTCACAATCTATCTCAATGCACATGGATATTTAGTTTTGTTTTTGCCTTTTAGTTCAGTTGGAGATAATTGAGCTGCTTCTGAAAGCATGTGATGCTGTGGAGAACTATGTCAAAAAGGTTAGAAACATTTTAGTAGCTTAAGTAAGATGAACAATCCATTTTGTGACTCCAATTTATGCTCCTCTCTTTTTTTGATTCTGTTATTTCAATTCTTTGGGCTGTGTAAGACTCTGGTTTTCGAATACCTCTGAGGAGAAATGGAGGTTCAACTTCTAGCTTTTATTGGTACTTAGATTCAAGTGGCATCTCTTGTGGTGTATTTTACTTGGAGATACTTTGATGTTTTGTTTATTATCTCCTAGGGAAATCACTGTTACAATTTACATGATTGCTTTTTTTCTTAATAGTTCTAAGCTAAACCAAATCATGTGTTTGGCTCATCACTAGTCCATTCCATGCATTTAATTTTTTATATTCAGTGAATTGATGATTGAGACATAGTTACAAGATTAGTTGTACATAATTATTCATTTCAACCATCTCATTGCTGATCAGTAGATCATTTTATGGACTTTCCTCTTAATTCCAGAAAATTTTAAAATAAAATGAATTTAGGAGGTATTTGGCTTTGAGTTTGGAACTTTACGGCCAATGAAGTATGAAAAAATTGCAGAGTTGCTCAATGGTATTGCTGAGAGGTTTGATTGGGATAAAATAATGGGGGGTGACAACATTATTAGACTCAAACAGGTAAACTTCTCTTCCATAACGTTTTCAAAATGCAAAAACTTCTTCTCTAAATCCATGGTAACTGTTTAGTTTTGAACCCTTTTCCAGTTTATACATTGCTTTTTTATGGATGGTGATGCTCGACTTTTTGGTTCAAAACCAATAAACATTTGTGATTCTTGTTATTCAATTTTGGCTTTTACTTTTGGTGAGTTCTAAATAGCGACTTTGCATTAATTTTGTGCAGCGAAAGTAAAGCATATCACTGTAACCTGGGGGGCAATTTAAGCTTAGTAGTGCCCCTCTGGAAACATTGCATCAAACCTGTGCTGAGGTTAATTCACACCTTTATCAGGTTTGTGTAAAACTTTAATTTTAGCATATAGATGAAGACATGTAATTATTTTATTATCAAGCCTTCAATTATGAGAAGATGTATATTTGCAATTCTCAAATCATATATGATAGATGGCCTTTTTATTTATTTATGTTAGTCTGTGAAGGTGGGATTTTTATTCTAAGCCTCTGGTATGATGTACAAGGACTTCACCAGCAAAGCTAGCTAGCACCTTCGATCATTTTCATTTATTTATGTTAGTCTGTGAAGGTGGGATATTTATTCTAAGCCTCTGGTATGATGTACAAGGATTTTTATTTATTTATGTTAGTCTTTGAGCATTTTTATTTTCTGAGGCATCCAACCACAAAAATCCCCTATTTGAATGGTCAAATGAAAACTTAAACTCAAATCAGTTGTTTGAATGGTTTGTTATGGACTTGAAAATTCATTGATATAAATCACTGAAATTAAACACTTGAGATGCATACCAACAACAATAAAAAAGAACATAAAATCCAATAAAACACTTGAGCTAGATAGAGTCATTTTCATGGTTTCAAAAGAACAGATTTTTTGAAAGGACAACCGAATTCCATGGTTTCATGTATTTATGTCATACGCGGTCCATTTTGTTTTTTAAATTTATTTTTCATGTTATGCTTATTCTTCTTGGGCAACTCTTTTTTATTTTCTGTCTTCCTTCTTTTTAAGGATCATACCAACAACAATAAAAAAGAACATAAAATCCAATAAAGCACTTGAGCTAGATAGAGTCATTTTCATGGTTTCAAAAGAACAGATTTTTTGAAAGGACAACCGAATTCCATGGTTTCATGTATTTATGTCATACGCGGTCCATTTTGCTTTTTAAATTTATTTTTCATGTTATGCTTATTCTTCTTGGGCAACTCTTATTTATTTTCTGTCTTCCTTCTTTTTAAAGATGAATTTCTTAAGCAATATTTTGAGGGAAGAGGGCGGTTTTGATTACAAGAAAGCAATTGTTGATTCAATTGTTATCCTTATAAGAGACATCCCAGATGCCAAAGAAAATGGGCTACTTCACCTTTGTGAATTTTGCAATATCTCATAATTCTCTATGTTTTCTTTATTCTGAGAAGAGGAATGATTAACCATCTGTTTGCAGGTTCGTGATAGGGCTGCTCTATATCTGAATATGCTTGAAGTTGATGGTGCAATTGTTGAAACTGATAAAGATGTGAAGAACTTCCTTTTTGGGTCTTTGGATGTGCCATTAGTCAACCTGGAGATGATTTTGAAGAACTACGTGAGTGTTCCCAGAGATTTGTTAGTCTCTGTATGCATTGTGCAGTGTTTGTTATCATATTCTCACGTGTTTGTTCAATAAAGGTTCAAGAACCTTCAGAAGAGCCTTTTGATATTGATTCTATACCTAAGGAGGTTAAGTCTCTTCCACTTGCCGAGAAGAAGGCCCCTGGTAAAAAGCCAACTGGTTTAGGTGCTGCTCCAACTGCTCCCACGTCCACTATTGATGCTTATGAAAAGCTTCTTTCCTCTATCCCAGAGTTCTCGAGCTTTGGAAAGCTTTTCAAGGTTTTTTACCAGACACTCCTTCCATTATATATACTGATTTTGACTATTATTGATAATCTGCTAATTCAGGTTCATATAAATTTTTGTTTCCTATGCCAGTCTTCGGCACCTGTGGAGCTTACAGAGGCTGAAACAGAATATGCAGTTAATGCTGTTAAGCACATTTTTGATAGGCATGTGGTGTTCCAGTACAACTGCACAAATTCAATTTCCGAGCAATTACTGGAAAATGTAATGACCATCTTAAAAAAAGTAGTAGTTCCTCTATTCTGAAATTATTTTGGGATAATCTCTCAATTTTTTTGTGCTTACTGCCAAGTCACCGTTGTTGTGGATGCTTCTGACACCGAGGAATTTACTGAAGTGTCAACAAGGCCTCTAAGATCTCTTCCATATGATTCACCAGGACAAACATTTGTGGTATTTGAGAAACCAGGAGTCCCCACAGTTGGAAAATCCTCAAACATGTTGAAGTTTATTGTGAAAGAGGTACTGTTCGTGTTTTTATAGTCATGTTAGACATAGGGCTACAAAGTATCTTGGTGTTGCTTGGTTATATTTGGACATATTCAAGCTTGGCTTGAGCTTATCGAGCTGTAAAAACATTTATGCTTGAGCTCAGCCCGATGGGTACTCTACTTTAGCTCATGAACCTGTTGGTCTTGTGTATGGCAAGAAATTTGAAAAAGTTCACGACCTGATTTTTTATTTAAAAAAAGAAGTTAAAATTAAAATTTTAACAAAACATTGTTGTTGTTGTAGACCACATGGAGGAAATTGCATACTTTTGTACACTTTCCACTCAATAAATCTATGTCCATCACTGGTTTCTTAGAATAGGTTGTTAACATGCAAAAGTAAACTTATCCTACAGATGTATGGACAAAAAAGTTACTTACCATTTCCTTTGCTTATTACTTATTTGTGAGGTGAGTTTTTCAGTAAGGTTACATATTATCCAAACTTGTATCAAATCAAGTTTTCACCAATTTTTCAATAAATCTAGGCAAAAACAAGTTTTTCACTAAATTTGATGAAAGAAGCTTTTGGGGATAGGCTTGGAATTTTTAAAAAGGATTTGATTAAATTTTTTAGCGAGGATCAGAGCATTCAATTTTTTCACCAAATCAAACTTTTGATTAAATTTGATGAAAAGCTATTGGAGCATCCCATCAAGCTTTTAACCAATTTTTACTCAAACTTGATGCTCTTATAAATCCATTTTTCTAAAAAAAAAAAGCAGTAGGTCATTTGGCATGTCCATTTCCCACCAAAAAGCCAACTTTAGCCACTTAAAAATGCCATTAGTTAAGCCAAAAATGCTAGAAAGCTAACATTTTTGGAACTGTATGATTAAGGAAAAAAAAAACCCTTTTGTATTTTCCTCTATTAACTTTGTAGAACAGTCTTGTGTTTCCATAATAGGCAATTTTAACAGAAACTGTTTCCAATTACTTTGTTAATACTTTATAATTTGTTCTGTGTTAATCTCTGTCTCTCTCAAACTTGTTTACTTCAAATATGAAGTTGTAATATTTCCAAGTTCCAGGCAGAGAAGATGGTTCTGGTTGCCTGTGGATGGAGGCATACAATATCTGTCTCATCTTCTGGTGGTTTATACACTTATGGGTGGAGTAAGTATGGTCAATTAGGACATGGAGATTTTGAAGACCACCTCATACCTCATAGGCTGGAAGCCCTGCATGAAAATTTTATTTCACAGGTAACCTTTTCGGTTTTCATGGAGTTGATTATGATTTCCTAATTTGGTATCAGTTCCTTTATGTTCTTTTCTTTAGACAGGAAAATCTAGTGAAAAGAATAAGAATATGGAATTTGTTGTATTCTTTATCTGCTTGAATTTGTTGTTTAGAGATCTCAATACTCTGTTCTCTTTCTCTGCCTTCTTGGTGACAAGGTACTGTTTAATGAGTCAATAGAGTTCAGTTGATGTATTCCAACTTGTGAAGAGTTTAGTTGCTGTGTGGTTGACAGAGATTTTGAAATTTTTAAAGGAATTTACTTAATAAAAGAGCATCAGTACCTAAAAATATTAGCGTAGCTATACACTTTCATGTGTTCACCAACAATAATGTTATATATATTATCAATGCAACAATACCCCTCATACTAATAACCATAATTCCCAACAAATTTATATTGCCTGTCCAGTTATATATGTGTATGTGTGCGAGTAAGTGTAGATACGTACATTTGTTCACTTGTCTGCAACTATGACTGATGTTTTTATTGTCCCGTGTTTTTAAACTTTTCTTAGCTTCAAAATTTTTCATATATCAGGTGGTTGGAGACACACCATGGCACTGACATCTGATGGAAAACTCTACGGTTGGGGTTGGAATAAGGTTGATGACTTAATTCTTCTTTAATTTCTTTAATTGAATGCTACTGCATCTCTATTTCATGAAAAAGTTTGCTAGTTTGATTACAAACAGAAGAAGGTATTGCTATCTCCATCAACCAATTAGAACTTTCTTTTTCTTGTACAGTTTGGACAGGTTGGTGTTGGTGACAATGTTGATCATTGCTCTCCTGCACAAGTTGAACT